TGGAGGCCTTGTAATGTGATCTTCATTCCAGTGGAATTTACATTAACATTGTTTGGCCGTCATAATCCCACCCTGTTAATCACATTTTTAGGATATTGAAATAGGTCTAACTCCATCCTGAGCTGTAACCCCTGGATCCCCAAAGGCTGGATGGGATTTAGCTCCACTAAAGCCGATGGATGATGGTGATGCTAAGTAATTTGACTGATCTTTTTTAGCCACTAAAACTTGTTCTTCACTTCCCAAGAAATACTCTTGCTCAATCCTCAGCTTTATGGGAAACAACCCATGAAAAATAGCTGCTGTCCACGCTCAGTTATCTTGGGGTATCGGTTCAATTTTTACTTCCCCTCCCTCCCCCAGCCTGTTCTCTGAAGGTGTCCAGCAGTCGGAGAGGATCCCAGGGTGCCTGGGGTCCTGTGTGCCTGGTGTTAAATTCCTGTCTGAGAGGCGTCTCCTCACTTCCCTGGGGAGCTCCCAGTGATGCTTTCCACCTGTGCCGAGGGCTGAGCAAGCTGCAGGGATTACACAGCATTGGATTTTCCTCCCTCTTCCATATTCCAGTATCTTTTGCAACTGAGAAAGGAGGAAAAACTCCGCAACTGGGAGTGCAGTGAAAAGTTTCTGGTGTAGGATTGAAATAGACTCCAGGTGGGAGGTGAGAAATACTCCCTCAATGCACAGCTGAGAAACTGAGGCACAGAGGGATTGAAGGATTCACTCCACGGCTGAGCTATACCTGGAGTCTGACTAAGACAGCGACAGGAATAGGAATGGTGTGCTCCAGAGTTAGAGCTCTAAATCCATCCTGGAAAATCAAGATTCAGTTCCCATCCTTCCCACTGTCTCCCTGGACAGCGTTGGTGGAGAATTTGTCTTACCCCAGAGAGGGAAGCCTCACTGGGTGCTTTTGTGGCTCAGTGAGAAGATGAGATAGGATCCCTGATTTCTGGGAATGACATGGCCCCATCTGGGAGTACACTGGGAATAGTGTCCCCGTTCTTCTGGAAGGGTGTGAGCTCACGGACTGCAGGGATGCTCCAACCTCCTGTCTCCATAGGGGAGAAGGTGAGGATGGCAGGACTGGCCAGTCTGGAACCAGAGGTTGCATTGTTCCACTTATTCCCTGATTGCTGAGAGTCAGGACAAGGGGAAATGGCCTCAAGTTGTGCTGGTGAGGTTTAGGTTGGATATTAGGGGAAATTTCTTTCCCAAGATATGACACTATCACAGTCTCACCATGGCAATGGTGGAGTCCCCATCCCTGGAGGGATTTAAAAGACACATAGATGTGGCACTGGGGGACATGGTCTAGTTCTTGCCTTGGCAGTTAGGTTGACAGTTGGACTCCATCACCTTAGAGAGCTTTTCCAACCTAAACAAGTCCATGATTCTGTGCTTCTGTGATTGCTCTGAGTTCATCTCAGAAGTTTGGGTTGATGCTGAACTGTGTTTGCTGCCAGCAGTCCCTGCAGTCCTGCCTGTGATTGGTGACCTGAGCGACAACCTCGATCCTTTCTCGAGGACGTTTGTCCATTCTGAGCAGCACAGGAGAGCTCATGTTCCTGAGAGGAGAAACCTGGAGTGAGTTAAAGCTGCACAGCCTGGCTGGAGCAGTTGGGGCTTTGCTGTGGGAGGACTGACAATGCATTTGCAGTGCATTAAGGTATTACTGTAACTGCGTGTGCGCTGAGAGGTTTCTGATCCTGCAAAGTAAAGATGAGCAGATTTGTCCCAGATTTATCAATGGAAGAAGAGTTCCCATTGAAACGGGAGGGAGGGGAAGGTGGGTGAGATCCTGCTCACAGCCAGACTGGATTCTGTACACACTGCCTGGCTGCTGATGCTGCCAAGGGGAGCTCTGGGGGGAAAAGGACAACCCCAAAATGCTGCTCGAGAGGCACTGGGATTCATCAAGAAGGAAGGAGAATTTCAAGGTGGAAGCAGGATGCCAAGGCAGCCCATGGCTGGGAATAACTGAGAGCTGGGATGGCCACGATGAGAGATGGGATGAAGGTCCCACATGTTTTATGCAGCCCATGTCCCCCTGAGGAGGGGGGATGCTGGGATAATTCCCCTCATGGTCTGGGTCTGGCTGTGGAAAGAGGGAAGTTGTTCATCCCCTCTGCTTGGAAATCTGCCCCGAGAAGGCCATTAAGGGAGGAAAAGAGCAATGCTCGCTCTGCTTCCTCATAGAAACTGCATGTGCTGTTCCAGGGCAGCCTGTGGACCATTGCACAGGGGGATTTCTTAAATGGCCGTTAGGAACAAAATTAAATTTGTTGAGACCAGATGCAGCAGAAGAGATGGATGAAAAAGCAGAAGGAAATTTGCAGAGGGAACACTGGGACATCTCGCATTAGACAGCAAACCACATCCTGGAGGAGATGTTTTGGTGCTGCATCGAGCTCCCAGCTTATGAGAAAGCTTTGGCCAGGTTGGACACCAGGGAGATGTCCCTTCCCCTGGGCTTTCATTCCCCTTCCCTTGTGCTCAGACCTCCAGGTTTTGAAGCCTGACCTAGGACCACCTCTATTTCTGCTTGACAAATGCCGGGCTTGTGCAGCTCCTGGATGCAAACTCCTGCAGGGGAGGCGGGTGAGGCTGGTGGGGGCTCACAGGGGAGGTGATGCTGTTGCTGCATCCCCGATGCTGCCCCAAAGCTCGGCTGGAGAGCCAGGGGAAAGCAGGAGCTGAGGGAAGGGCTGGGGAGGGTCTGCCCCTCGGCTGCTCTCCGCCTGCAGCGCTGCTGCTGCCTGGCACAGCCTAATTGGCTTTGATAGGATTACAGGGAAGCAGCAGAGGAATAAACAGGGCCAGGAGGCCACGATGGGATGGGAGAAATCCCAGCTCGACTCCCGACCAAAGCCGCCGGAGCTCAAGGGTTAATGTCTGCTGCTGTGCTGCAGCTGTGGGGTACCGGCTTAATCCTGATGCTCTTAAAGGAAAGGATTTTCCAAGCAGTATCCCAGAGGTCTGTGGCTCTCTCGGTAATTCCTGATGGGTTTGCCCCTGACAGATGCAGAGTAAATTATTGCAATTATGGAAGTTACACCTTGTGCCTTGAACCTTGTGTCTTCAATAAATGTTTATGGTTTGAGGCAGCCTCATTTGTTTGCCATAAAGCAGACAACACTGATTTATTGGCAGAAATCCTAGCGGGGAAAAGGGATGAGCCAGACAAGTTTTTAGCTGCCACAGGCATATATGTGGTGAAGGGATGATGGTTATTTCATTTTCATGAAAATAAAGCCTCAGACTTGTGTGTGAAGGATTACAGGATTTTTTACCAACCTAGGTAACAAGGGGAGCTCAAGGGTTAATGGTGCTCCAGGGCTTTGCTTCCTGCCTTGTCTGGGTTTTGGGATGGCTGGGAGATGCTGTGGGTTGGGAGGGAGGAGAAGATGCTCTCCCTGGGAGTATGGTGCTGGTTAGCACCATGAACTGCTGCAGGAATGGTGAGGGAGCAACCTCCCAACTCCCTCCTCCCAGGAGATCCACACCCTCAAGAAAAGCAGCTGTCAAAATTGGGGCTTAAAGCCAAGGATGGAGCTAGCAACAAGGGACTTGTGTCCAAGTCTGGGGTGGGGTGACATGGCCTGGACACAACTCTCCTTGTGTGGGGCCATCCATCTTTCCATGCACACCTTGCTGGGACTCATTCCCTCAGGAATTCTCCTGGGTTTCTGGTGGCAGAGGGTGTTTCCCCCCATCAGCAAAGAGGTCAGTGGGCTCAGCTCAGCCCGGGTCCATCCTCAGTGTTCATCTGCAATTCAGAGTCTTGAAGTCAGCCCTTGCACCAATATTTATTGTTGTTACCTCCCCAGATTTGGGTATTTTGGACAGCTTGTTTCTGATTTAAAGTATAAATAAGTTTGATCTTTTCTGGAGGCTGTGCTGGTTAAAAATAACTGGGATGATGAGCTCAAGTGGGGATGGTGGAGGGGTTTTAACCTCCATCGTGGCAGGACCACCCATCTGGCTCTGGAAGGGAACATAGGCTCTCTCCTCTCCTCTCCTCAACCCTCATGATCGAACTCTTGGTCCAGTGCAAGGAGTGCCCATGGCAGGGACGTGAAATGAGATGATCTTTAAAGTCCCTTTCAAACCAAACCGTTCCATTACTTTTTCCCAAGCTAGGAGCTCCCTGAATTGCCTAAACCCCCTTGGCACATGGCTGGGCATTAAAGTGTTTCAGTTATTGCATGGGGTTGGAAAAATGGGGATCTGGGGGAGAGCTGGGAGTGCAGAGATTAGAGGTTGTCCCTCATGCACATTTCCTGGGAATGGGGTGTTTTCCAGCTCTGGGCTCCTGCAGAGGAGGTTTTTGCCTGAAAAGTCCCTTTTGCTCACAATTGAATATTTACTTTAAAAGACCAACTGAATAGAGAAAGAAAGAAAAAGAAATAGAAGGGTTTTGGCTTTCTTGATGGAAAGTCTTAAATGCAGGTTTGGGTTCAGCCTGGAACCTCCTCGGTAGAGGGCTGGCTCAGCTTTGCTTCTGGGTTTATTTTGGTGGGGGAAGCACACGCACACACACACGTGTGCACCCACACTCATGGACACACGCACATGCACATGCTCTCCTAGACAGAGAAAAACAGTCTAACCCAGACGCTGATTCAAAACAACTGTTGGGTCTGGCCATGCTGCCAGCTTTGCACTGCCCACAGCCTCCCACCGTGTGAAACCGTAGCTGAAAACCAACAGGAAAACGCGAAAATTCAGAGTCAAAATTGCATTTCACCTGGGGAAGGGCAGAAGAACTCTTTCTAGGCAGCAGTTCTGCCAGGAAAAACCCCCTCTTCCTGCGTGCAGCCCGCTGAGCAGCAAAGGATGCTCCCGAGAGGAGACTGAAGCCCCTCGGCGCTGCCTGGGGGATGGATGGGGCTCCCCCAAGCAGGGCCATGGGAGGGGGTGCCCGCAGCTGGCGGGGGGCTGCGGGCAGGGCCGGGGGGCTGGTGGGTGTCTCCGGGAGCGGTGACTGAGTGAGGCGGTGCCAGGGCTGGGGGCGGATTTTTTGAGAAGAGCCTCAGCTCTTCAGAGCAGCGGCAGCCGCTGGAGGAGTTGGGCGGCTGTTGCTCCCTCTCCGCCCGGAGGAGGAGGAAGAGGAGGAAGAAGAGGCTTCAGCTGCCGCCTCTCGGATCCCCCCTCCCCCCCTTCCCCTTCCGCCCCACACCTTTATGGACGAGCGCCGGAGCTTGCTGTACTCTCCGGCCGCCTCCTCCGCCGGCCGGCAGCCGCGGGGCGGCTCGAGCAGCAGCCACCACAACCTGGGCTACAGCGAGCCCCCCGCCGCCCCCCAGCCGGGCCCCGAGCAGCAGGAGGAAGAGGGCGAAGAAGGGGAGGAAGGCAGCATGACCGTGGTGGGAGGCGGCGGCGGCGGCGGCGACCCCTTGCTGGAGGAGCCGCAGCATCCTCCTGCGCTGCTCGGGGGGGATCGCTACGATCAGCCCCCGGCGCCGGCCGTGCCCGCCGGGCAGCCCGCGGGCGCTGCGGAGCACGAGTGCTGCGAGCGCGTGGTGATCAACATCTCGGGGCTGCGCTTCGAGACCCAGCTCAAGACCCTGGCACAGTTCCCCGAGACGCTGCTGGGGGACCCCCGGAAGAGGATGCGCTACTTCGACCCCCTCCGCAATGAGTATTTTTTCGACCGTAACCGTCCCAGCTTCGACGCCATCCTCTACTACTACCAGTCGGGCGGGCGCATCCGGCGGCCCGTCAATGTCCCCATCGACATCTTCTCCGAGGAGATCCGCTTCTACCAGCTGGGGGAGGAGGCCATGGAGAAATTTCGGGAGGACGAGGGTTTCATTCGGGAGGAGCAGCGGCCGCTTCCCGAGAAGGAGTTTCAGCGCCAGGTGTGGCTCCTCTTCGAGTACCCCGAGAGCTCTGGGCCGGCCCGAGGCATTGCCATTGTCTCTGTCCTGGTCATCCTTATCTCTATTGTCATCTTCTGTCTGGAGACCCTGCCTGAATTCAGGGATGACCATGACTATGAGGGAACTGGGGGGACCTTCGGGACAGGCAGCGGCCCTCTCCCACCTGATGTCTTCACCAACTCCACATCCTCACCTGCTTCCATGGTGTCGTCCTTCACCGACCCTTTCTTTGTGGTGGAGACTTTGTGCATCATCTGGTTCTCCTTTGAGCTGCTGGTCCGTTTCTTTGCCTGCCCCAGCAAGGCCACTTTCTCCAAGAACATCATGAACATCATTGACATTGTGGCCATCATCCCCTACTTCATCACGCTGGGCACGGAGCTGGCTGAGCGGCAAGGCAATGGCCAGCAAGCCATGTCCTTGGCCATCCTCAGAGTCATCCGCCTCGTCAGGGTCTTCCGCATCTTCAAGCTCTCCCGGCACTCCAAGGGGCTGCAGATCCTGGGGCAGACTCTCAAGGCCAGCATGAGGGAGCTGGGCTTGCTCATCTTCTTCCTCTTCATCGGCGTCATCCTCTTCTCCAGCGCCGTTTACTTCGCAGAAGCTGATGACCCCAGCTCAGGGTTCAGTAGCATCCCTGATGCCTTCTGGTGGGCCGTGGTCACCATGACCACTGTGGGCTACGGGGACATGCACCCCATCACCATTGGGGGCAAGATCGTGGGGTCTCTGTGCGCCATCGCGGGGGTGCTGACCATCGCCCTCCCCGTGCCCGTCATCGTCTCCAATTTCAACTATTTCTACCACCGGGAGACAGAAGGTGAGGAACAAGCCCAGTACATGCATGTCGGGAGCTGCCAGCACCTCTCGTCCAGCGAGGAGATGAAGAAGGCTCGCAGCAATTCCACCCTCAGCAAGTCTGAGTACATGGTGATTGAGGAAGGGGGGATCAATCACAGTGCATTCAAACAGGCTGCCTTTAAAGCAGGCAACTGCACAACCACAAACAATCCCAACTGTGTGAACATCAAAAAGATCTTTACGGATGTTTAAAACAAACCGAAACCAAACGAACAGCAACAAAATCTGAGGATGTGGTAAAACAATACCAATAATAATACCAATAATAATGCAAAGTAACCGTGTGTCGGTGTTGTGTGGAACATGCACCATCGTCGGTCCTGTGTGTGCCCTCGTTTTTATACCTTTATTTTTTTAGATCCTTCCTTTCTAAAGATCCAAAAGTAAAAGGATTTAAAATTCTCTGAAGAAGAGGACAGCTAAAGGGTAAAGAGAAGGAAGATGAAGAAAAACCACACTCACTGTCAAAAGAGGTGTTTGTTCTGCAACGTGTTGCAGAGCTGCTTTGCTTTTTGGGCTTTTGGGGAATCTCTTCCTTTGCTCCTGAATTTCTCCCTCTTTCCCTAAGGGCAGTGTGTAGCCAATCTCCCTTCCATCATGTAAAGTAACTTGTTGGATTAACAAACTCGGACTGGGTGGAGGAACGAGGGAAAAATGAGGCAGAGTGTACTGGGAGGGGGCTGGGAGGAAATAACCATTTAATTCTGCAGAGAGTCTCTGTTACCACATTGTTAAATGATGCTTAATATTGAAACATGTGATGTGCCATTACGGGCACATCCCAGATTCCCTTTTTCTCCCCATTAGATCATTTATGAAATTCTAATCTGGTCAGAGACTGAGTGCAATCAATGCTGATTTAAATAGAAAAAAAATCCCTAAGCCTTCATTTTCTATTCTGGATTCCCTTCCCCTGTAACCTGATGGAGTTATTTCCTCCAATGTCAAGTCTGTGACCATGCAGCAGGGATGTGTGCAGGAGCAGGGAGAGGAGAGGCAGACTGGAATGTTTTCGGGAGCCGCCGGCGCAGGGAGCGATGTCGGCACGGAGCAGGATCCATGACGGGCTCCTTGCTATGGCTGGGAGCCTCCAACCCACCCAGCCGGAGACAAAGGGATATTTCCTCCTCATTTTGCAATGCCTTTGGAGGAGATGCAGCCGCTTATCACCAGAAGATTAAAGTGGCGAACACGCCTTCCAGCGGAAGTCACTAATTCCGACCGGAGTGATGCAGTTGCCATGGTGACCATGGTTTCCTGGGAAACCCCCAGAGGTTGTCATGGCATCCCTTCTCCCATCCCCCTTGGTCCTTGCTCTTCCCGCAAAAAGCCTTTCCAGATGGTTCCAGCTCCTCCATCCCACAGGACATCGTGGCTCTGCACCCCCTTCCTGGTTCTTGCTCCACTGCTCCTCCTGTGTGCCCAACAAAGCATCCACAGGCAATAAAAAATCCACCTGTCCCTCACCTTGGCAGTGAAATCTGGGGATGGAGGTTCATCCTGCTCCACCGAGAACGACCCCAAACCCAGTGGGAACTGGCACCAAGGAGCTGCCGGGAAGCTTGGCCGGAGAACCTCGGCAGCTTTGTGAAACAAGGGGGACAGTAAAAAACAGGATTGAAAAATAACCAAAAATCTCGCTGGGAAAAATCACAAATCACCGGCTTCATCTTCACGTGTATGCCAGGGGCTATGGGACATCTGATGGGATCAGGTGAGTTCTGCACAGGGGAGAGTTCAATGGAGCCATAGTGTTGGGTTTTTTTGGGCAAACCCCATGCTTTCCACTGCTTACTTTTATTCTCCAGCTTATCCTGCTGCTCTCGGGTATTTTTATACATGTTAGATAAAGTGGGATCACATCCTAGAGCTCCTCTGATTGTATTTGCTTTTTAGTGCTGTGGGAGGAGGAAAACCCTGCTGCTTCTCTGCAGCTGGATTGCTTCATTTCTGTGCTAAAAAGGTGATTTCAGTGGTTTAGTGCTCCCATCCAGCCCCTGCCACTGATACAGGCCAAAAGCAGCTTGGCCTCAAGAGCTTTGGCTCCAGCTCTGCTCACTTTTGCTGGATTTTCCATTAAGAAAAGCCAAATTCCTCTGAGGTAGCACATGGAACAGGCATGTTGTTAAATACCTAAGAGAAATTTGGCCCTGACCTGTTCAAGTCACACCTTTCCCAAGGCTGTGGAGAGGGGGCCTTGTCCTGAGAGACGCTGGCCACGCCAAAATTGCAGTTTAACTGGGATTTTCCCCAGACTCAGAAGGATCTAGATGGTTTGCAGCACCCTCCCTTAGCCACAGTCAATAAACCTAAGAAAAGCATCAGAGCCCCTCCTTGGATGCTGGGGTGTGGTGGTTTTATTGGAGCTGCCACAGTTTTCATCAGCTGAGGGTCCAAGAGATGATCTTTATTAGGGAGATGCTCTGGAACATGATGGGACGTTGCAAACCTGAGATCCCTTGTCCAGGATAACTGGGATTCCTTGTCTGGGAAACTGGGAACACCTCAGTGTGCCTTTTCCCCAGGCTGCCAGTGAGCTGAAATGTCATTTCTGCCTACAAGATCTCACTTTTTATTGTTACTAAATTTTAGTGTTATTAAAGCTTTCCCACATGCCTATTCCTAAAAGGAGGTTCTGGGTTTAAGAGCAGTGGAAACATGGCACTCAGGAGAGTTTGCAGATGAGTTCTGGGTTGGTGTTTTCCCCATGGCAGCTGCACAGGGTAGGGAAACCACATGTTCTGGAAATGGCACAGAACAATTTTCAGTTTCTCTGTCATCTAAAATAAGCTGAGACCTTGCAGGTTGTTGGTTTGTTTTCCAGACTCGTCCCTGACTGATTTTGTAGGAGCAGAGTAGTTTCAAAGGGATTTTATTGATAGTAAAAGATGTTTCATGGGAGAGGTGGCAAGAAACCACTTCACCCACTGGGGTAAAAGGCAATTTGGCTATTTGGCTCTGGTAAAATTCCAGAATGGTTTGGATGGGAAGAGACCTTAAGGATCATCCAGTCCCACCCCTGCCATGGGCAGGGACCTTCCACTCTCCCAGGTTGCTCCAGGCTCTGTCCAGCATGACCTTGGACACTTCCAGGGATGGGGCAGCCACAGCTGCTCTGGGCAACCAATATCTGATCTAAATTTCCCCTTTTTCACATTCAGAAAAATACTTTTCATTACTGAATGGTATCACTGAAAGACAAAAATTCACTGCTGCTCTGTCTTAGATACACCCCAAAAAGTGGAAGAGGAAAACTGGGGCTCTGCTTTGGATGTTCTGCCCTCTCTGCATCCTCCCTCTCTGCCCTCTCACGGGTACCATTCAGTGAGAGAACGGAGCCACTTGAGCCACCTGCTCTAGTGGAAGGTGTCCTATGGCAGGGAGCTGGAACTGGATGATGTTTCTGATCCATTCCAACCCACACCATTGAGTGACTCTGATAAATACCTTCTGTTCTGTGGTCTGACGGCTCCTCTGGAACTGGCTGCTGCACTTGTCGTGCCAGGAATTGGAGAGATCCCTGAAACACTGGGCTCTCCACAGCCAGCTGTTATTTAAGTGTTAAATAAGAGCTGCTCTGCTCTCCTGCTGCGTGCCCCATTAGGACAAGGCAGTGTTTCAGCAGCACCGGGGAGTTCCAGAGGAGCCTGGGCTGTGTCGGGTTTGCCTGTCCCTAATGTGCTTAGAGGAGCAGCATTAGGGGATTAGCATCTGTGTGAGGCAAAGGGCTCGCCCAGACTCGGCTTATTACGTTAAATGGAGGAAAGGGCATTACCACGAGCTCCTGGCTGATGCTTCCCAGCACCCCAAGAGCAGAGGAGCAGGGTCCCCGCAGCTCGGGGCAATCCCAGCGTGGTCCCCACTGCCATGTCCTCCCCGCCCCTGTCCTTCGTGCCTGTCAGCCGAGAGACACTGAAGGATGGGGGTGAGGATGGAAGAGGCAGCTCCCAGCCCAGGGATGCAGCCCTGGGAGGCTGGAGCTGCCCCCGTGGGTGCCTTCAGTTTATCAGAGTCACAGAAAGGCTTGGGTTGAAAACATCCTTAAAGAGCATCTTGCTCCAACCCCCACACAGGGGCACTGGGTGCTGTAGAGCCTTGCACCTCCTCTTTTCTCTTTTCACAGACTGCTGTCGGTTTCCCTTTCCCTCTATCTGTATTTTAGAACCTGTTCCCCTGTTTCAGCCCTGGATGCCACCTTTAAATGCATCCTTGGTGCTGGGGGGTGCAGCAGCCGCAACCCTGGCCCCTCCACTTGGTACTTTGACACCATCACCTTTTCCTCCTGCTTCTTTGCCCTCTTCTTTCTGTGTGTTTTCGGGCCTGATCAAAAGGTTCTGTTGTTCTCCAGCACAATAGATGCCCTTCGGGTGCCTGGGGTGGCCGGAGCAGAGCAGTATCCATCCCACCCCACGTGTGGACGCAGACAAGGGCTGGAGATATCTCTTTCCTCCAGGAGGGTTAAATTTCCTCCCAGGCAATTGTTCCTGCTCCATCCCTTGACAAAAGAAGTAGTTTTTGTTTTTTATCCCCAGTTTATGGGCAATTAAGCAGCGGCAAAGGGCAGACAAGTGCTTTCCCCGGCAGAATGGAAGGAGCGAGCCAGGGTCATTGCTCCGAAGGGGTCTCTCCTGCAGGGTTGTAGCACAAGAAAAGGGCGTTTGGCAATGCTTGGCGTGTACGGGGAGCGTTGTGTGTAAAATCTGTTTAATTGTGTAGTTTGGAGCCCTCTCCTGCCAAGCTTTTAAAATATTCATATCTTGCTGCGAGCACACGGAGGCTCCACCGCCGCCGGAGGGAAGCAGGGCTTGGTTTTCCCTATTTTTAAAGGCTTTAGCAAACGATCTTTGGGCAAGCTGCAAACCTGGGAGTGCAAACGGGCAAATAGGGTTTAACTGTGCTTTATTTTGCCCTTCAGTGTCAGTTCTGTGTGTACCTGGAAGGAGAGCTCAGTGCCCCGGCATCCTCGTGCACGGGCAGTCATATGGGAGCAGGGGAATAAGGGATTTCAGGATATTGTATGATCTTTCTCATAGATTATCTTTAAGGTCGCTTCCAACCCCAAGCATTTGATGACTCGATGGCTACAGGGTGCTGTGGGCAGGGCCATATCCTTGGAACTCTCACTCCTACGGGCTTGGTGCTGCTCCCCTGCACCCTCCCTGCTCTGGGTCCCACCCACAGCACGACTGGGCCCTTGGCTCGGCTTTGGGGGTGTTGTTCAGCTGGAGGATGTGTTAAGGGTGGGATGTTGGTGCCTTTCCGTGTTCCCCTGGGTGCTGTTTGCATGGCTGAGTCCAGGCAATCCCGACGGTGCAGGGTGGCATCAGCCCTCTCCCCGTGCCAGAGGTGGGAGGTGGGCATCGAGCACGGAGGGATGGAGCCATGGGCTTCTTTTCCTGGAAACAGTCCTGGGGCCGTGGCCATCACCACTTTGAGGAGGACACTTGGGGGACATTTTGGGTTCCCTGAGGTGCCTCATCCCATCTGGGAATCACTTGTCCAACAGTAGAGGGTGTTTGACCAATTTCAGGGGCTGGTGAGTCAGGGTTTCTTAGGTCAGAAATGAGACTGGCACCAGGAGGAGGGTCCAGTCCCAGCTGTGCCCTAGGGAAGAACCATCCCCTGGCAGGGACACATTCACTGCCAGGGGATCCCTGCAGAGGGGTCCCAGCCCCAGGGGATCCCTGCAGAGGGGCCCCAGCCCCAGGGGATCCCTGCAGAGCAGCCCCAGGGGATCCCTGCAGAGGGTCCCAGCCCCAGGGGATCCCTGCAGAGGGGTCCCAGCCCCAGGGGATCCCTGCAGAGGGGTCCCAGCCCCAGGGGATCCCTGCAGAGGGGTCCCAGCCCCAGGGGATCCCTGCAGAGGGGTCCCAGCCCCAGGGGATCCCTGCAGAGGGGTCCCAGCCCCAGGGGATCCCTGCAGAGGGGTCCCAGCCCCAGGGGATCCCTGCAGAAGGGTCCCAGCCCCAGGGGATCCCTGCAGAGGGGTCCCAGCCCCAGGGGATCTCTGCAGAGGGGTCCCAGCCCCAGGGGATCCCTGCAGAGCAGCCCCAGGGATCCCTACAGAGGGGTCCCAGCCCCAGGGGATCCCTGCAGAGGGGTCCCAGCCCCACGGGATCCCTGCAGAGGGGTCCCCTCCATCTCCCAGCCCCTCCCGGCTCTTGCTCCAGCCAAAACTCTGCTGGCTCGGCTGTGGCTGAGCCTGGGATGCAATCGAGAGCTTTCACACCCTGCTTGGTACAGGCCAATGGGTGATGGTGTCCCTGTCCCAGCCGTGTCTGTCCCCACGTGTTGGTTGCTCCCTGCTGGGAAGGCATCGGCGTTCCTGCTCTTTGTCACTCAGCAAATCCCAGTTTGTGCTCCTGAAAACCATCTTGTGTGTGGAAGAGCCGGAGCCCTTCTATCCCTGATTTGGCAAAACTCAGGCACCAACATAAACCTCATGAGCCTCTCTGTGCTTCTCCTTCCACGATTACGGTGCTGCTCTGACACCCGCAGGGTTCAGGCTCTGTCTGTGTCTCATCACCGCTCAGAGCCTGAACTTTAGTGCTGAGGATGCTCGGCAGCAGGGCAGGGAAACCTCCCCGCATGAACATCCCCGCAGGGCACCGTCACTTTTCTCCTCCTTATCAACCAAGACACGCTCAAATAAATTAGAACATGTCTCCCATCTCCTTCAGCTTCTCTCTGGAGCCGGGAGGAGCTGAAATGCTCCCTGCTCCCTGCTGTTCCCTGCTCAGCGCAGGCAGCCGTTCCCTGGTGGCTCTGCACACTCACTGCGAGAGCCCCGCTCAGCCGCACCGACGGCAGCAGGCGCTGCTGGGTTTGTTTAGGAATGATTCATTTCCTTGACACTTGTGATTCCGTTGCTTTTCTGAGCGTGTTGGAGCTCTGTTGCTTTGCTCCAGTGGTTGCATTTCATTTTTAGCGTCTCTGAACAGCCTGGCTGGGCAGGCTGGGGTTGGATGTGTGGCTTGTGGGGATGATGAGCCCATCGCCCCCTCTGCTAGCCCCAGCAAGGCTGCAAAGTGCACTCAGGTTTATTTTGAGGCTGAGCAGCACAGCTGCTTTGCTTTGCTTCCTCCAAAGCACGATTGTGGATAGAGGACAAAAATCCTTTGGGGTTTTCTCACAGTTTGCTCAGTGGTGGAAGCGGGATCAGGGCTTGCAGCAGGGTCTGTGCTTGGGGTGCTGCTCCACGGGAAGCTGAAGGCTGGGAGGGAGGATGGAAGGATGAACACACACTTTGCAAAGTGTTTTCTGCATTTGCAGGGGCTGAGTTTGCCCTTGGACTTGGTGTGAGGAAGGAGCTGTGTGCAGAGCGGGCAGTGGGTAATGCTGTGCCCTTCAGGGAGTTTGGGTTGGTACTCCAGGGAAATGTGTCCCTGCTGCCGGGGCTGGAGGGTGTGAGCACTGTGGGATTTGCTCCCTGGCTTTGGACAGGTGGGCTCCTCTGTGCCTCAGTTTCCCCATCTGGAAATGGCACCGAGCAGCTTCAGGAAGTGTTTGCAATGGAACTCCTGGGGAAGGAAGAGGCAGTTTTGAAACACGGGGCAAGAAACGAGGACTCCTCCAAAGGTTTTATGGGATTCAGCTTTCTTGAGGCTAGAAAAGCCTGCAGACTCTGCCCTGAGTATCCCAATAATCCCAGTTATTTCCCTTGGCTGAAGGGAAGCCTGAGGTTTCACACAGCTTCCCAAGCTGCCAGCTCTGCCTTCAGCTCCCCGTCAATATCCTCCTCTCCTGTGATTTCTTCACTCTGCATCTTCCCTTTCCCATCCTTCTGGTCCATTTCTCCTGAAATATTGGTGAATTTAATGTTGAGAATCCTCTTCTCCCTCATTGTTAGTCTCTGCTTGGAGCTGCCACTCTCTCTCCTCACAATTTAACCTCACACTGTTGCGCTGGGTCAGAAAACAGACATAAGAAATTTGGGCTTAAAAATGGCCCTGGGTGCTGGGAATTTGAGTTTGCAGGAGGGATGAGGAAGGAGTTGCTGTGAACTGCATGTAGCATAGAAGGTTTAAGGGCTTCTCTACCCCTGCCTGTGCCTTGGTGGGTGCAGGTGCCTCAGTAATATTCCACACTTAAAATCCCACGGAATTAAGGCAGGAAATCTTTCTGCAGCAGCAGAAACAAGCCTGGGCTGTTCTCTCCCAAGGCTGGAAATTTTCAGGGTTGTGTCTCCCATCCTGGTTGCAAGATGCTCTGAGAAATCACCTGGAGGAGCGAGTGGGGAATGCGACCTGGGTCCAGCTGGGTTCCTCACCTGGGACATTTCCTGGGAATTTGGCTTTGTTGCTCTGTTTTCTTGACCAAACAGCCATTCCCTTGCAGGAGAGCATTACACAAGCTCATTACACAAGCCAAGTGTGGGACTCAGTCAGAGATATCAGGTAATTTGATAAGATCTGTTTTCTTAACAGAAAACCTGTGTTGATTGGCACCAATTAAATCTTCCTCTTTAATTCTGTATTAAGACTCTCAGCAATTCCAGCAACTTGTTTGGGATCAGTGACAGATGGCCAGACCCATCGTTTTCGCAGGTCACTTTGTTTATCCCTTAAAAATCTGTCCCAAACAGGAGCTGTTTTCCAATCCTCTGGAAGGACTCAGGAGATGCTCAGTACTTGCACTCCCAGGAGCTGTTTTGTCAGCTCTGAGTGTTTAGATAGAAGTTATTTGGCTCAGCCAATTAAAAAACATCTAATTTTTATGCCTGCTGTTTAATATCCTCTATTTCTCTTGGGATGGAGAGGATTTCCTCACCCCTGGACAATATAAAGACATCTGGATCCCTTCAGGAGCTGGAGCAGTGATAGCTCCTGGATGCTCCTGACTTCTCACTCCCACTCACTGGATCCAGAGAAATAACCCCATTGTTAGGCTGAGGATTTGGCATTTCTTTCTTCACTGGCAAGGATACAGCTTGGATAGGCTCCAGGATACCCCAAAGCACTGGATTATTTGCCTGGTGGGAATTAAAGTTGTTATTTACCCCTTCATCTGCAGAGTCCCAACTCCACCACCACCTTCTTGCCCAGTGGCATTTCCTGGGCTGAAGGTTCTGTTTGGGTCTAACTTATGTATTTATTTATTTCCTGAGTGTGTAATGCTCCAGTGATCCTTGAGGATCCTGGCAGTTTGGAGCCCTTCCCAGCTGGCAGGTGGGAGGGGTTTAATCCCCCAGCTATCGAGCAGAAAGCCCTGTTAGCTTTAAGCCCAGGAATGGCCCTGCTGGCACTTCAGGATAAGCTGGTGCTTGAACTGTCTGGGCTGGGATCCTTGCTCGGAGCACTGAGCCCCTCTGGAAGCTCATTTCCCAATGCTGCACTGCCTCACAAAGCAGGAATTCTCATCTCTTTCCTTTCTCTGCTGGATTTTAGCATTCCTGTAGCATCATTCCTACATCCCCACATCCTCATCATCCCTGCAGATGCACCCTCAGCATCCCCATATCATCATCACCCCTGCAACTTCATCTCTGCTATTTCATCATAGCTGCAACATCATCCTCCGTGCATCCTCATCATCCCTGCAACATTATCCCTGCAACTTCATCATCCCTGCAGCTCCATCCCTGCAACATCACCATCCCTACAACCTCATCATCCCTGCAAATGCACACTCATCAACCCTGCAACTTCATCCCTGCATCCTCATTATCCCTACAACTTCATCCCTGTAACTTCATCTGCAATTTCATCACAGCTGCAACATCGTTCTCCCTGCAGCCTTATCATCCCTGCAACATCATCAGCCCTGCAACATCTTCCCTGCATCCTCATCACCCCTGCATCCTCGTTATCTCTGCAACTTCATTCTGACATCCTCATTATTGCTGCAACTCCATCTCTGCAACATCTCCATCCCTCCATCCTGATGTCTGCAGCATCCAGAGAGGGTCTCTCCCTCCTCAGTGCATGGATCCCACCTGGCATAGCTCCATCCTGCCTCTCCCTTTGGGGACAACAGGCTGATTTTTGGGGCTGGTGCCTTAGGCTGGGCTCTGGGCTGTGACTGCAGCTCCTCCCAACCTTTCCCTCATCAGCAGCTGCTAACGAAGCACCCGGCTCAGACAATCTGGGGTGTGCCAGTTGCCACGGTGTGAAAGTAAAGGCAGAACATGGATTTTTTGGAAGATGAGAGGGATAAAAACAGTTGCATGAAATTTCTAGACATTTTAGTGTCTCAAAGACACAGCAGAGCATCTCCCTATATTAAAACAGGAATCAGTCTCTTGAGTGTAGAGCTATGGATGCAATTCTAGCACTGCAGAAATTGGGAGATTTTTGGGCCCTTTGCTGGACACCCCCATCCCCACATCAAAATGGGATTTTGGGTTTGTGCTCTGTGGGATGACTCCACAGTCCAAGCTCTGGGAGTGGGGTCAGCCCTCGCTCCTCCCATCACCTGGACTGGATTTATAAAATCAACCAGTTACTCAATATCTCATGAATTACATCAGCTCAGAGCAAACTCAGCTTGATTAAGATAAAAACATGAGGAAAACCCACCTGGCACTAATTATTCTGAGTCTGGAACTTGCCGTTAATGTGAGATAACAGTTAACAACAAGAATTTATTTAATGAATCTTTTTCCTATCTTTAGCTCACTTTAGACTGTGTGGCATCTAGTCCATTAAAGAATTTAATTTAAAAAATTTAATTTTTCATTAGTGGGAAATGGAGTTGGGAATTTGTCAGGGGGGGCCAATGTGCAATTTCTTTTCCACTTTACTTGAAAAAAAATGAACCTGTTCTTATTTTTCAAAGCAGGCTGTGCATAAAAGTGGTTCTTTGCTTTGCCCAACAGATCACAGAAGAAGTTTTGAAATGAAGACCTTCAGGACTGTGTTGAGAAATAAAACATCTCCAAGGAAAGGACAAACATCCCAAACATCCCCAACACTGCCATGGACCCGACTGACAGAGGGCCTGTCCTCCCCAGCTAAACCCAGTCCATATTTCATATATATATTTATATATGGAATATTTCCCACTTCATCTGGGTTTTCTAACAAGTGCATTATGTAGAAGGGAACATCTTTGGAGCCAGATTATCTTCAACTCATGTGCAATATAACAGGACTGAGCAAAGCCAGGAGAAAGGAGGAGGAGAGGTAGAAGTCACATAGACATTATTTCAGTATTTTTTAATATTATTTTTTAAAAAATCTCTTGAAAGATGAAGCAACCAGAAAGGAAATGTTAAGCAGAGCTGCTAAAACTCAGTCCAAGTGTTTTCTTGGGGAGGGAGGGAGTGGGGGGAAATTTGGTTGCTGTCGCTGTTCCCCGGCAAAGGCCACGGGTTGTTCTCAGCTTTTGGGAATCATTCCTGTTTCATTTTTCTCACTTTCCTGGAAATGCCCTTTATAAGTAGTTCTGTGCTGTACCAAAGGCTGTGATTTACTTTGAGTCCTTATTTAGAAAGAAACATCTCTGCTGGTGCTGAGGAAAAGGGTGTTGAACAGTTGTGCCTTGCTATCAAGATCACTCCACAAAAAAATGAAGGAAAAATTGAATTTCCAGGATAGAAAAGGTCTAAAAACCCAATTCTTGGCTGACCATGCTCCTGCTTCCTTTCATGAGAGCCTCTCTGCCCTTGTCTGCACTTCCACAGTACCCCAGCCTTGTGGGAATTTTTTAGTGTTGCCTTTTTAATTCTGTAATAATTGGGAATTCCATCTCTGCTTTGTCCGTTGCTGTTTCATTTTGCATATTGAGGTTTTTGGTGGCAGGTTAAAAGCTGTGGGTTGCCCATACTGGGCTGGGAAGCTCCTAAGGCTGGACTTTCCATAACCTCACTGTGTTTCCTAGCACTGCACAGATCAATGTTATCCTGGTGCCACGAGAGAAATGGTCTGCAAAGGGATAAATGATGTGCAAAGGGATAAATGATGTGCAAAGGGATAAATGATGTGCAAAGGGATAAATGATGGGCAAAGTGATAAATGCAAATGGCAGAGGGGTTGATGGTCTTTCCTTCTTCTGGCTCTCCCTTTTCCCCATCCCCAGCTTCATCCACCTATTCATGCTGCCTCCATCCCAGCTTGGGGACTGAAACCCTCCCAGCTCAGCCTCCATCGGAGGAGCAGAGTGAAACTTGGAACAGCATTAGATTTAAGGGTGAAAATAATGTTGGAGGGACTCAGATGAGCACAGGAACCTCTTTGCGTTGCAATAATTCCCTGGCAATGGTTTGGGAATGTTAATTTAGACTGGATAGAATCAAGTGAGCTGGAGCTTCCTCTGAAGCAGAGGCTGCTCAAGGGGAGGTAGCAGGAACCAAAATTATTGTGTGTGAAACAGATCCTTGAGCTGATGCTGCTGATTGTCTTTGGTGTCCCAGGACCAGCCTGTAGGTCCCCACCAGGTACCTGGAAGGTGGAACAAGGACCACTCTTCCAGAGGGAAACACCAAAACATAGATCCTTCCCCCAGTGGAGCTGTTTACCTGCATTTCACACAGAAATCCACAGGAGACACACGTGGGATGCCTGGAGGCACAGCCCCAGGGAGGATGCACTGAAACCAACCCCTGGAATGAAGGCTGGAAACGGGAAAACTCGGGAACAGACAAGGCAAAGCAGCCAACTGTCTGCACCACATTTCTGTCTTGTAGAAGAGCTTTGAAGATGAACAAGAACCCTGCACAAAAACATCAGTGGAATTCGGGTTGAGAAATTCCCTTAACACTGGGAAATGACACGATTCTTACAAGGAATGCGTGGCTTTGGTGAGGTCGTGTTTATTTTGTTTGCTTTTTAAACACGGGTAATTTCTTGGCTGGAATTCCTCCTCCTGCCACGGCAGGAGCACCTCTGGTGGTGGAGACTTTGTTCCTGGCAGAAGGGCTCGGGAGGCCCAAACACAGAAGTCTCCAGGGCTCTGCACAGGTGCAGGTTGGGCAGAATGGGCTGAGAGGGCAAAAAGAAGCAAAAGTGTTAAACCCAGCAGTTTTTGTCCATTTAATCAATTGGAGAACGAAGAGAAATTATGGATCTGGCTCTCAGTAGGACATTGCTCCTCTTGCATTTATTCCCAGCATGGAAGAAACCCCGTGGCTGCTGAAGCTGTGGGTAAATGGAGGAGAAAGGGCTGGTGCTGCTGGCACCTGGATTTACCAGGGCTTTAACAGCAGAGGGAGATTGGGATCGGGGACCAGGATTGCTGGAAGACCACATGGAGCAGGTTCCTGAGCCCCGGAGATGAGCAGGGGGTGCCAAGGCTCGGCAGGGATGCCGGGGAATCGCGGAGGTGAAACAACGCGCGGTGTGAAATCAATGCGGTGCGAAAGCCGCCTGCACAAATTAGAGCTAATTAGAGCAGTGGCTCTCATTAACTTGGTTTGGCCATGCCCTGCCTGGGGGACAGCTCGTGGTGGGGGCCGGGGAGAGGGAGTTTCTCCACGGGATCTTCCAGCAAATTGCTCCCACGGCAAATCCCCGCGGGGAGCGCCGCGTTTGTGCCCCTCCGGGTGTCCCTCCCTGTCCCGCACAGAGGAGCTGTGTCCCCTGCTGCCTCACCCCAGACTGAAATGAATTATTGCTCGGGCCATAACATCTCAGAGGCCTTAAACCACCCCTTTGAAAAGACCAGGAAAAGTGCCCGGTGTTTGGGGTGAGGGCTGGAATTCCCAAGTGCTCTTCCCCACTGCCGCGGAGGGAGCTGCTGGCAGGCTGGGGGAGATGGAGCTGGCCTTTTTTGGGGACATCTCACCTCCCAAACCCCTAAGGAGCTGTGAAACACATTTGTTTGCAGCCTCCCTGCACCGTGACAGGTTCTCAGTGTGCTCTTGAGCCTGTAAAGGAGAATGAACAAAGCTTTAGCAGCTCAGAAATGGTGAGAGACTGACCCCAAACCCATTTTCCACCATTTGGGCTGCAAACAGCCAAAGCCCCCATGAAATGAGAGAGACCCCAGGCTGCCCACATGGGTAAGGGCACATTAACAGGAGGAGAATTGATTTTCTGGATTGCAGCACAGACCTGGATCTTGGGAAGCCCTGGTCCCAAAGGTGTTATATTTAGTTTCTTTTGGAACATGATCTAGTAGCCCTTAAAATGGGGGATAGAATGTATCAGTACTAAAGTTATTTTTATTTTTCACCAGTGTTACACAGAGCTTTTTTATGCGTGTGTGTGTGTGGGTGTGTGTGTGTGTCTGTAACATGATTATACCTCATCTGTTTTCAGTAGCCACTTGTTACAGCATCTCTCTGTTAGGGCTCAAAACTGTACTTTGATTATTAAAGTGGTGGGAAAAACCATCCCCACCCCCAACCATCTCACCCTGGTGACAATCTTGCCAAATGCCACCTCTCCTCGGTGTTGTACGTTCTGGCGCTGACGATGTCGCTCTGTGCTCTCGGGTTCCTCGTGCTTGGTCGCTGAGCCAGCTGGGTGTTAATGTGCTTTTCCACAATAATTGAGAGTTTGATAGTCTCTAAGTGTCAGCCCAGTGCATTAATCTGTGTTGCCACCACTCTGAGCCCAGCCTGGTGCGTGTTGCAGATAACCATCGTGCTGGGACAGCCATGGCAGCGGGAGCGCAGGGCTGCGTTTGGCAAGGGAAGACAAATTAAAAATGTATCCAGTCGATTAAAAAAACAAAAAAAGGCAGCGATTTAATGATGGCTGACATCAAGAGAAGATCCAAAAAATAGCGTGCTTTGATTCCCATAATCATCCCAAGGCAGGCTGCTCATCTTTATTCATAGCCCTTCAAAGCCGTGCTCCGAGACGCCAGAGCAGCTTGGAGCTGTCGTGCTCAGACGGGGCTCTTTAGACGCTGAACACGCACCAACCCTTCCCCTTTTAATTTTTGGGTGCAATTAAAGTGATGAGAGCTCTGCTGCTGGCTCCGTGCTGGCAGAGAGGCAGGAAAAGCGGATCTGGGGAGCTGGGCTGGTGTGGGGTCACGGAAAGCCGCTTCTTTTAATGACATGTTTTAAGCTGTTTTAAGAAGGCAGCAAAATTAGAAAGCAAAAGATCTCCAAAAGTGTTTCAGGGCACTCACAAAGGTTCAGGGGACACGGCACAGGGACAGGGCTTAGCAGTGAGGCTGTTGGGGGCATTGAGGGAATACTGGGAAGCTGCTCTGCCCTGCTGGATTTGGGCAAAAGTCAGAATTTACACCCTGGCACAGGGTGCCCCATCCCTGGCAGTGCCCAAGGCCAGGCTGGATGGAGCTTGGAGGAGTCTGGGATAGTCCCAGCCCATGGAAACAGGATGAGCTGCCCCTTGCAGCCCAAAGCACTCTGGGGTTGTATTAATTTGTGATTCTGTGATTCCTGCAGTCCCATCCCAGCCTCCAGCCCCTTTCCACAGGCAAACCCCTGCAGGATTGGCATCTCAGAATCCAGCCTCGAGCATGCTGGAGGCTTCATTACCTCACACACTTGGGTGTTTTCTGAGCCAGCTGTTCAAATGCTGTTATTGCTACTGAATCCTTTTAAAATTAAGGAATTTCTGAGCTGGATTTTTTCTTCCCTGAGTGCTCCCCACTCTCCTGCATTGCACAAAGCTAGCTGGAAGTCTGTCTTTCAGCCTGAGATTAAAGCCAAGTACCAGCTCTGGGTGAATGAAATTACCCATTCTAATCCCCATATTTTCCACCAGCCTCTGATACAGGTAAATTATATTTCTTTTTCCCATTTTCCCTGCTTGGTCCACAATGATGTCATCAGTGCACCTGTAAAGGGAATGGCTTGAGATTGTTCTGACTGGTGCTGTCCCTAACACATCTCTGACCATTGCAAGGCCAGGCACTGCTGCAGGGTTTCAAATCCATCATTCCTATTCCAGAGGATAATTTCACAGCAGGACAATTTGTCTGGCAACACACAAGTCATGGATGGAGCTGGAATTGTGAATCAAAAGGTATTAAGTGGAAATACAGTCAGTAAGAGCCTGAAATATTGGAATTTTAATGGAAAACTGTGTTGGCTGCCATGTCCCTTGTGATGCCATTGGTGCACTGAAATTAGACTTGTTTTCCCAAGTGCTCAGTCTTGCAGGAAAATCACCTTGCTGCTGGAGGTCAGGGATTCCATGGCTGAATTTGGCATTTTGCAAGGAAAACAGGCTCTTAATTTATCACCTCAGACCCCAAAATGTGGCAAAAAGGAGGCTTTGCATCCTCCTCCAGCACAGCCGCAGCTCATGTTTCTTAATTTCCCATCCTTTACTATGCAACTGATTTTCATGGAATCTTCCCAGGGTGGAGATGGCTGGATATAGTTTTGGCTTTGCTTTCCTTCCTTCACATGTGCAAGTGGTAATGCAGAAATGTTTCCATGACTGTCTCACCTGGGACATGCACTGGGTCTATGAACAGTGACATATTGGGAAATTCTGTGTAAATCTGAACTTGTCTTTAAATCTTGACTAATCAGTGCCACAGGAGCGATGCAATTTTGAACTGGAGATGTTAATGCAGTCTTGTTACTCTGAGTTCATTTTGAATTCTGGTTTTGTCAGTGAGCTGTGTTACAACTGTTTAAAACTTGTTTTTTTTTAATACCAGTCTGATGCTAAAACCAGCTGCTGCATCCCCTCGTCCTGGTGACTCCACCATGGTGTGGGCCTTGTGTTCAGTTCCCAGTTAAAAAAAGTGATTTTTTTTTCAGTTGTGTGATTTTTTTACCTGATGCTGAATTTATATTTGAATTTTTTTTTTCTCATTAGAACTTGAAACTGTTCTTTCATACTCAAAGTTCAATAAAACAGCTGAACCGCAGCGTGTGGTGTTTGATACTGAAGCCCAGAGCTGGGCTGTATTTGCCAGGTTTTAGAGGGAAGAGAGGCTGCTGGGGGCACGCTGTGATTCCAGGGTTGGTGTTTCCTGCTGCGTGTCCAGAGGTTAGAAAGGGTAAATGGCCCCAGGGCAGTCCCACAGTGTTGGGTGCTCAGAGCCACCCCTGGAGTGAGCCCTGGTGCTGCTGGGGTTCCTCACAGAGAAATTCAGCTTAAATGAGGCTCTGGAGGAGCCTGGCTGTGCAAAGGATGCTCTCTGCTGCCTTTCAGCTCCTGCTTTGCTCTGCCAGAGTGTGGGCATCCCCTGGGAGGAGTGGTGGCTGTGGCAGCTCCAGCAGCGCATCCCTGCACAGCGACAGAGCTGCGCTGTAAATCCTCCCCTTGAAACCTCCTGCTTGGGAATTTCCCTGGGAGCCACCCTGCATGAGGAAGAAATATCGATTCATCATTCCCTGCTCAGCACCTCAGCACCATGCAGGATTTTAATGACCTGTGTCCTGTCCCTCTTTCCAAGCCAGAGCGTTCAGATCTTCCAACTGTGACGTTTCCAGGATGCTGCAGAGGGGCTCTTCCAGCTGGGAGTCAGGCTCCTACAGGTATTTTTCTGCCTTGCTAAGGAGCCCTTGTCTTGGATACTTCACTTCCCACCTTTGGAGTGGATAGTGTGTCCTTTGAGTATCCAAAGGATCTTCCTTTGTATTCCAACCAGGCCTGGCATCCTTCTACAATCAATGTTTGTCCCTCCCTCTGCTCTCATTTTTATCAATGGGAATGCCAATGTTATAATTTCCCCTATGGAATTCTCCTTTACTTAACAGCACCTTGTCCAGGCCATTTGTTATTATTCAATTTATTGATAGATCCTTGATTTTGTTCTCTCAGTGCTGCATTTCCAGCCCCTCACTTCACCATACTGGCCCACAAGCAGCCCCCAGCCTGAGGATTTGGGTGGTATTTCTGCCCTGTTGATATTTGGGAAGGGTGGAAGAGCCTTTATTTCCTGCTCTGTCAGGTGTTAGAGTCACCTCTTGGTTCATCCTGATGGCAGGGAAGGAAATATTCCTCTGACTTCCCAGGAATCACAGGAGGTGCTGCAGGGACAGTCATTCAAAGAGTGAAGGGATTTTGGATGCTCCCTCAAACACCAGCACTTTTTAACATACCAATATTCCACAGCCCCAGAGGGTTTGAGCACAAATCAAGGGAAGCCTCAGGATCTGGACCGTGGATCTGAGCTGCTCTCACCCCAGCCAAGTCCCTGGCACTGGGGGTGATTCCACAGCTCCCAGGGGTGCCCGGTGGCTGCTGCTTGTCTGGGAAAACGTGAGCTGGAAGCAGAGTGTGGGGAGGGGGAGAAGGGGAAGCCGTGGCTTAAAATAGCTCTTTTTGAAAGAAAAGGGATGAAAACCTCTTTGAAGAAATGAGGGGAGAGGGGGAGTGTTTCCATGGCAACGGGGAAGTCTGTCTCTTCCCAAAAGAGGGGGTGGGAGATGAAGAAATAGTAAATACAGCAGAGGAATGATGGGGAAGAGGATGCTGCTGTCAGTGGCATTCCCCATGGATGGCAGTGGCATTCCACATGGATCCCAGTGGCATTCCCCATGGATCCCAGTGGCATTCCCCATGGATCCCAGTGGCATTCCCTGTGGATCCCAGTGGCATTCCCCGTGGGTTCTGGGCAGGGGGCTCTGGGTCCTGGTGGGAGCAGATGGGCTCTGGCACTGCCTGCCCTCGCAGCCTTGGAAGTGTCACTTTGCATCCTCCCTGTGCCACCTGCACCCTGGATCTGTCACCTGCCCAGGTCACCAGAGAGAGCAGTGACCAGAGCTGCTGGGGACACCTTCCCAGGGCCAGGTCGGTGTCACCACCGTGGGGCATCTCCAGCTGCTCCTGGCAGCTGGGCAGGGACAATAAATAATGAATGTCCTCCAAATGCTTTGGAAATGAACATCAAACCCTGGCTCTTTTCTTCCAGGAATTTTCCATCATGGCCCAGCCATTGCCAGGGGAGGCTGCAGGGAAGGGAAGTGTGCTGGGCAGCAGAGATATGGGGGGATTGGCCACAGGGTGAGGCAGCTGGGGGCTTCTGGAGACATTGAGGGCAGGCAGAGTGGGCTGGCCTGGCCGGGAATTTGGCACAGCTCCCAAACTGGCACCATCCACAATTTGGCCAAGTGGGGCTCACAGCTTGGCACAGCTCATGGTTTGGCACAGCTCAGAATCTGGCACAGGCCAGGTTGGGCATGACCCAGGATTTTAACTAAAAGGGTTTGATTTAGATTTGATACAAGGAAGAAATTCCTCCATGTGAGGGTGGGGAGAACCTGGCACAGGGTGCCCAGAGCAGCTGTGGCTGCTCCAAGCCTGGCAGTGCCCAAGGCCAGGCTGGACAGGGCTTGGAGCACAGTGGAAGGTGTCCCTGCCATGGCAGGGGTGGAAGTGGATGGGCTTTAAGGTCCCATCCAACCCAAACCATTCTGTGATTCCATTATTTGGCACAGCTCCCCATCTGCATGGCCTGTAGGAGCCCAGGACTTTGGCCAGCTCTGTGGCCATCCCACTCAGGGCTATCTCGTGTCTGATGCTGCCCCAGTGCCGCCATGCCCACGGTGCCACCACGCCCAGGCCCTGGGGAAGGCACTGCCAGCCTGAGCCCTTGGCTTCTCCTCCCTGCAGCAGCTCTGCGTGGGAGGAAGAGAAGAGGAAATCATCCTCTCAAAGCACTTTTCCTGCCTTGTTTGCAGACCTGCAGCTCCCTGGGGAGGGATGAAAGTTTGGGGTGATGGGAACATCTCATCCCACTCCACGGCTCAGATCTGACCTTCAGCAGCTCTTGGCCCCCTCCCAGCACCACCAGGCACTTGGGCTGAGACTCACAGGCTCTAAAAACAATGTCTGCAGGGCTGCTGATCCCATCTGTGCCGTGAGGGAGGTGTTTCCACCCTGGCCATCACCTGCATGGGGAACCAGTCCCAGGGCTGAGGGCTGGAGGGATGTGTCCCACCAGCACAGTGCAGAGGGGACCCTGAGCTCACCAGGCAAAAGAAACCTGTCTGCAGATGCTGCTCATCTCCAGCTGAGGTTTTGGCCATTTCCAGCAGTGCCATCTCCCCTGCAGGTTTCTTCCATTTCCCCTCAGTCTTCTTTTCCCTACTCTTAACAACCAGAATATTTCAACTTTTGGCCCCATTTCCCCATTCCTCAATGAGGAAAAAACCCTGGAGTGAGACAGAAGTCCCTCTCATCTGGAGGAAAGGGGAGAAACGCCTTGGAGAATTACAGAGGGATGTGTTTAATGTTATCTTTGCAGAGAGGGGTTTTTGCTGTTTTTCTAGGGACCAGGAGAGCCACAGAGGACCCAGGAGGATCTCCCAGGGACTAAGAGATCTCTTCAGAAACCAGGGGATTCTCCCAGGATCTAGGAGACTTCCCTGGGGTCCAGGAGCTTCTCCCAGGGACAAGGAGCCCTGCCCACCCAGCATCTCTTTTTGCTCTGCTCCTCCTTTCCCACATCACTCCAGGCAAAGCCCGACCCTTTTCCCATCTCCAGGCTCAGGGAAGCCTCTCTGACCCATCTCGCCAGGGTAATTTGGGATTCACCAGCAGCACCTGCCATGGCAGGGCAGAGCTGCCTCTGTGGCTCCGTGTCACCGTGTTCCTGTGACATTTTTAGGTGTCTCCTGGCATCCCCTCCTCTTGCCACCACCCACGGAGGGGGGTGAGGAGGTGCTGAGGGTCCAGGAGCTCCATCCCCTGACGTCAGCAGCGGGTGGGAGGTCGGATGCTTTCCCTGGAGAGTGAATCACAGTCCTGGGAACTCACTCACAGCTTTCACAGCTCCTAAAATGACACAAGGCCCAGTTATGTCAACACCTTCAGCTGAAAACCCGTGGCTCAGATGGAGATGGGGCTCAGTGCTCCGCCCTGCCCGACCCCTGGGCTGGGCAGTGCTTGGTGCAGCTTGGATCCCCTTCCCAGAATGGCTGTGGGCATTTGCTCCATCCCTCAGAGCCCCTCTGGCTTGGCAGGAGGTGGGACAGGGTCCCCAGGAGGGACACCACAGAGACACCACCATTGTCTGAGTCTGTGCAGGAGGTGTGAAGGTGGTGCCACAGGCTCTGTCCTCTTTGGAGGGCTTGTCCCACCCCTTCCCTGGCTTGGCACATGCAGGTTTCCACTCTGTGTGCCCTGATCAGGGGGCTGGGCATTCCAGTGACCCTGGGACTTGAATTCAGCTGCTCTGGATGAGGCCAGGCCTGGGGATAACCCTGCCCTGTGGCTTTCATCCCTCTCCCACAGCACTGCTTCTTGGAGCATCTCCCAGACCCACTGTCAGCAAGATAAAGGGGGAAAAGTGATGGAAAGCACATTTTTTATATTTTGTTATTTTTTGCTATTTGTGTGGCAAACCCACAAAGGCTTGGAACAGCCCCTGGGGGCATCCCTGGGCATAAAGGAAGCAAGGAGAGATCACCCTGGGCACAGGACCTCCTGGTTCCTGGAACATCCTCCCACCAAACGCTTTTCCCAGCACCACACACACAGACAGGCTACGAATTCCAGTTTGGGTGTCTATAAAATCCATTGAGACGAGAGAAATAATTCAGGAGGAAATTATTATTTAATAATAACACTGAGGAAAGGCGTCATCTTGTTAAATCCTTGTGAAACAGCCAAGTGGGTGCAGAGCTCAGCTCTTCTGGTTCTCCGAGAGGCTGGGATCCGTCTGGAGCTGTCAGCGCGGCTGAGGGAGGCGGCTGCAGACACACAGACGATAAGAATAGCTCACAATTAGGGTAGTAAATCAGGAGAGAGCGTCACTCAATTCACAGAAATTCCCCTGATTTGCTGGAGACGGGAGTTTGGCTCTTTGCACGGCGCTGGTGCTGTTTGGATGACAAATCCCCCTGGTTCTGCAGAACCTTCACACGGCGGCAGCAGGAGGAGCACGTTGGAAATTCAGCTCCACTTGAATTGTTCCAT